AATAGAGGTCAGCAATAGCCAAACTTTGGCCCTCCAGCTGTGGTGAAACTATAAATTCCATCATGAGGGCCTGTGACTCAGTCCTGCTATTGGGTATCATGCTGCTGCTGCTACATTTTCTGTAACACTAAACAAATACAGAATTCACTACTTGAGTTGTATAGAACCTATGTACTGGCGCAGTGGGCATGGAGAATGGATCATTGGCAGCAAAATCTCAACATCCTGTGGGTTCAATTCAATCTGCAGATTTCTACCCAAATCTGAAACAATGAACGTGTAAACAATACTTTGACGAGGCCGGAATTTGATATCTTTTTGAAATATGTATGTTAGGATAAAATTTGCTGTCCTCCTCTTACAGCCTAATGTAGAACATTCAGGGATTTCCATGTACAGACACTTGTCGATATTTAAATGTTTTGTTCTTCTTACAGAGCCCATTTGGTGCCAGTGTTCTCTTTTGGTGAGAATGAACTGTTCCTTCAAGTGTCCAATCCTAAAGGGTCTGTGCTGCGGACTGCACAAGAGAGGATGCAAAAGATATTGGGCTTTGCCCTTCCCCTATTTCATGCCCGCGGCATCTTCCAGTATAGCTTTGGACTAATGCCGTATAGAATGCCCATCCATACTGTTGGTAAGTTGGAAGCATTTAACAAATTCATTTAGACTACAGAAGAGTAAATCTTTTTTTGACCGTAGTTTTAACACTAATTAAGGGCTTGTTCACACCATGTCTGGACCAGAACATTTTTGTTTCCGCACGTGAAATGCATCTCAATGTATTCATATGGTATTTCTGGGCTCTGTTCATACCAGTGCAGTCCGTTCTGGTCTAGAGTGCACCAAAACGCATGTAGATGCATCAAAAATGCATGCAAAAATATACTAGACCCTTGGTTCTCAACTGGTGGGTCGTGACACAAAAGTGGGCCACGACCTCGTGTTCAGTGGGTCACCGTGTGCCTTTCACTATGCCAGGTGAGAGACTCCTCAGCTCCTCCTGTCAGTTCTCTCTCCAAGCAGCCATTCACAATCTGCTGCCTGGTGCTGAGTGTGTGCTTGAGGTGGGATGGGCTATGACCGTGAGGGAACTCCATCCATACGTACCACTCCCTTGCGTGTCCTGTATATGTGCGTGGACCGGAGTGATGTCACATTCTGGCTCCCGGCACCTCTACAGGGCACTCAAGGGAGCTGCACAAGCATTGCACATATGGATGGAGCTCTGTCACAGCACAGCAGCCCACACTGGACCCCAGGCTGAGGATCTACTGCACCTCTCGTAAGGTATGGAGACTTTTGAATGGCATCATAAACGCACCTCCCACCCACAGTCCTATCGCCCGCACTGGAACGTGCGGTACCGTAATGCTGTGCGTTCCATTGCAGTGCAACTTGGGTCACCACTTAATGACCAAGGACAAATGTGGGTCCTGAGGTTACACAGGTTGAGAACCACTGCACTAGACTACACCTGAAAGCCCATTTTAGGGGGGGGAACGCACCGAAACACATCAAACGCACTGCACCACGTTTGCAGATCTGAACCAGGTCTGGTCCAGACATGGTGTGAACAAGCCCTAAAGAAGAGCTCCAGGCAGAGTTTTTAATAAACCTTCCAATGGGGCTGCCGCCGCACTGCAAGGGTTAACTGCTTATTTTGGTCTAGGAAGGAAAATAAGTTATACTTAACCTGATCCTCAGAGCAGGCTTGTTCTTAGACCGGTCCCCTGGATCCTCTCTTCCCCCTTTGCGGCAGTGGTCTAACATCTGAGTTATCACGGTCCATACGCAGTGTATAGGACGTGAGGACGCCGAGGGACATACCTTCCTAGAGCAATACAAGCAGTTTACCCTTGTAGTGCGACGGTAGCCCCACTGCAAGGGTTAATAAGAGTTTTGTCGTCTTTAATTTCAGATATTTCTCACAGATGTGGTGAACACTTTCACATGGACTATTATTAGAATGCCATTTACATATACAGTTAGAGGTGAAAAAAATCTTAGTCAAATTTAAGAGGGTTGTTGCCCTGATGAACCTGTTCTTACCAACATTAGAAAATTGACAACTACATTCTGATTGCTATGGGCAACATCATCCTTTTTAATGTTTTTATGGTTAAATCTGTATTTTTATTATTAAAAAGAATAAATGGAAAAATAAAATAGGGATATATCAAATACCCAGTTAGATGGAAACCATGACACATGACAATATTGTATTCATTACAAAGACAATGCCAAACATGTGACATTGTTTTTTAGAATCATGTCTGATTTATAGAAGAAATGTTATGGGTATATTATAATAACAATTCTGCATTTGCAAAACTACATTTCTCCATATTAATAGTGACCCTGCAATACTGCAACTGTGCATATTGATGGTTGTATCTGGTGTTTCAGGTCTGATTTTTATATGGGGAATTTAAGAAAGTAATCAAATATTAAAGGTATGAATTTCGTCATTCAGTATATTATAAGGAAGTAAGTTCATAGTGTGTAGGGATTAATGAAAACAAAGACGAAAGATCGGAGGAAAGAAAAGAAAAGAGAGGTCAAAGAAAGATGTTTTTTACAATAGAAGCAATGCACACTACTACTGTCATATTGCAGGCCACTGCCATCTGCATGTATTCTTCTTACCAATATATCGGGGGATCCAATTAGTAGTGAGAGAAGGTCATTTCATGTTATGTCTCATCAGCTGCCTTTTAGAAACCTTTTCCAACCATGCTACCTTCTGAGTACCAGGATGCCAGAACAATTTTCTCTTCAACTGCTTTTGGTACGCTAGCCAGGGCATCAAGGTCTCTCAGTGGTGGACTTTGTTTTATCTCAGATAGGCAGTCCCATGATCCCCAAACACAAAGAGTTCTTTGGCTGAATGTTGATGAATTTAGAGAGATGCATGCAAGGGTTGCCAGCCAAATGTTCTTTTCTGTAGCAAATTGATCAAATGTTGTTCAAATTAGTAGTTCAGTGGTGGGTTTGAGGCTCAGCAGGGCTCTGTTTTGCATGGTACATAGTTTTACTGTTCGTTGTTCCCTTCCCTTCTCAGTTAAAGTGACTCTAAACTCATGCAAGTACCCTATTAACAAAAATAGGGTACTTACATGAGTAAGTACCTCACGCAAACCATGGTCCCTGTGTGTGTTGGAAAGTATCCACCGCTCCAAGCTCCTGTGCTGGACTACAATCTCAATACAAATTAGTACACATTAAAGTGGACCTTTACACATATCTTTAAAATAACAACAAACCCCTTTAGAAATGTTCAGTAATGACAATCTACACACACATACTTCTAGATAATTGCAGGATTTCTATTCTTTGCATCCCGTATTTCTCTTTTCTTCTCCAGTCTTCTGGCAGTGGCCATGTTAACTAAGGGCAGATTAATAGCTCTCCATTTACTTCCTTGAACTCTGGCACATGTGGCTAGACATGTGACTAGGACATGTGACCATGCACATCATCCCAGGGGAGAAAAATACCTTTCCCTGAGATCTCATGGGATTACAGATGAGATTTCCCAGCAATGCTCTGCTGATGTAACCTTCCCAGGATGTAGCGCTTGGCCACATTACATCATTTCTGCCAGAACTGGAGCACGAGGTAGATTAACTCTATTTGTAAGTAAATGAAAAACAAATTTGTTTAATGTAAGATTATTTTACATTCGCATACAGAGCTGCATTCTTTTGTGATTTTTAGTAAAAGGGGGTAAAGGTCCACTTTATTGTAGTCCATCACAGGAGTGAGCGTAGAGTGGTGACTACTTTACAACTCATGCAGGGACCATGGGGAACAAAAGTAGTCCCCCTCCAGAAGGAAGGACAGTGTCAGCACCAATTCAGAGGTGATTTCAGGCTCTACAGCCGAGTGATACACAAATAAGATACATTTTTGTTAATAGTTGAGGTACTGGAATACATTTTTAAGATGTAATTCCTGAGTTTAGTGACACTAAGTATGACTTTTCCAGTCTTCAATACCTGGAGAAATAGCAAACTGACTGGTCTTCTCTCAGATATCTCCAAGCCTCAAAATTGCACCCTCAAAATTGCACCCTAAGGAATCTCTACTTGGCCAGAAATGCTCAGCCTGATAAGTGTTGCTCAGACAGCATCTATACCTGTCCTTAAAGTGCATTTCCAAATCTTATTTTTTCAGTTTTGGGTAAAGCCGGCAATAGTTGGAGCCCATCAGTTTTCTTTTTTGCTACCTATTTAATTTTGAGGAGATTTCCTTTTGCTTCCTGTTTTGAGGACATAAAAGGATGTGATTGGCAATTTCTCTCTGTGGTAACGTTCTCACAAAATGGAGTCATTAGAGGAATGTCCAGCAGTGTGCAGGCTGTGAATATGAACTCCATTTTAAATTGTTCCCCAAGTGTGCATTATAAGACTTAAAGCTAAATTCCAGGCAAACGGCTAAATACACAGCTTAAATACATATTGGGCAACTGTTTTACCGGCCATACGTGTGTATTTCTGGCCTTCCAGTTTTGAGATCACACAGCTCTGTAATACAGCACAGCCAAGCAGATGACACAATTTTCTCTGTTAAAGGTATAGACTGTAGAAGGGATAAAGTGAACAGTAGAAGACTGATGAGGTGAGCCTCTGCTCCGTCCTCCTATCTGCATGTTCTTTGTCAATAGATTTGCATGCAGAACACCTGATTGCCGTCCAGCCTTGCCCATCCATTTCCCAATTGGAGTGCGGCTATATTGGAGATTGCAAGAGGCTGATCACAAATCAATGTCAGATACTTAACATTAGAGGCATTTTTTAAATAAATTTATTGATGTATTAAAGTGACATTAAAGGCAAAAATGTTTTTGCCTCAACACAACGTTAATGAAAGCACTTATCTTAAATGAGGTCTCTTAATCCGATCATCTTCTTTCCTGTAGTTTTCAGCCTTCCGATCCAACGCGGACTCCTCTGTGATTGCTGGCACTTCCTCTCCTACGGTGTCTGCATGCGGGTGCACGCGTCCATATACTTACCTTGTGTCTCTCCTCGCGTCCCGGACGAAAATGTGAACTGAGCATGCGCACGCCCCAAGATCCTTTGCGGCCACCCGTGCAGTTTCACATTTTCAGGCGGGAGCGCGCGGGGAAGATACAAGTAAGTTTAAACCGCTAGATGAAATAAAAACCAAAAGCGCTGTGGACGAATCCTGATGTTGAGTGTTATGTGTACAGGATTGCTAGGGGTGCTGCCCCACTTCAGCCGGGGAAACTGTAAAACTGGAAGACAAAAGAGACAGTAGGGCGCCCAACCTAGTGCAGATAATCCTTTTAATTTTAAAAGACACGATAAACAGGAGTGCAAGAGTACTCACAATGGTAGGTCAAACAACAGCGTATAAAGATGATTTCAGAGGTCTGTTAAAGCGTTTTTTTTTTGTTTTTTTTTTTTTACTTTTTGCATAGATCTAGTGCTTGCTAGCAGTAGATCTATGCAAAAAAAGCTGAGGGTTACGAAACCCTTTAATGTATACAGAGCTGCAATAATAAATCTGCCTTGAGCTCAATGGTAGGAGGTTATCTGCAAAGGCCTTTTTTTTTTTTTCTTCCATAAAGTGAACTATGTTTGATTGGGTAAAAGGGGGAGTTTAGCTGAAAGTTGTCATTTGTTTTTACAGTAGGCAAGCCTATCCCGGTGAAACAAACCTCAAACCCCACTCAGGAAGAAATTGATGAGCTTCATCAGCAATATCTTAAGGCCCTCCAGGAACTGTTTGAAGAGAACAAGGGGAAGTATGGCATCCCTGAACATAAATCTCTGATCTTTACATGACCTTCACATAGGCGGCTCCTTTCCTAGGACTGGAACCAGAATGGTATACATGATCCATCGGACCTATTATCCACACAATATCTGTAAACCATTGTTTTCACACAGAGTAATACTTTATATCTGCACATTTATATCTCAAGGGAACTATGAAGACACTCTAGTGTTCACAAAGAACCAGTATCCCATATGTCATTTATCTTCTGCATCAGAAATGGAAATGCCTTATTGACTTGTTGGCTGAATGAGTATAATGGAGTTTCTATTACTAGATTTGTCAGCGTATGGTACTGTTATGCACGGTATGTTAGGGTTATTCTATTTACATTCACTATGGTAATAAATGCAATAAATATATGTGTACTGGTGATTGATTTCCTGTTTAGTCGCATCATGTCATGGATGCCTACAGGTGGCAGCAAAACTAACAGCAAAACAATATATATCAGATTGACACTTTTTGTACAAAACATGCAACATATTCATAAAGGCTTTATTTAAATGACCTATATATTTAGGTACACAGTACATTTCATGCTGATGTAAAAACCCGGGAACAGTCTATACATACCTTGACTGATTTAATTTTAGACTTCATCAACGCAAAAGTAGTATTGTGCATTAAATTGCAGCAAACAATATTTTACACTGACCTGAAGTCTAAGTAAAAGTCTAAGGCCCCGTTCACATTGAGCGATTTACCGCGCGGTAATTCCCGCGATATCGCGGCTATTTACCGCGCGATATCGCTCTTCAATGCATCTCATTGGGGCAAAGGGTCCTGCTGTCGCGGGTCGTGTATCGCTACAGCAGGACCCTTTTTGGAGCGGATTTTGCCGCGATTCTCGCTTGCTCAATGCAAGCATTTGCGCGATATCGCGCAAAATGCAAATTGCGTGACAAGCGCGCGATTTGCAAATCGCGCAATGTGAACAGGACATAAATAGAAATAGTCTTTATGCAGAAATACCATGAGGAGAATTTATCAAAACTGGAGCAAAGAAAATCTGGAGCTGTGGTGCACGGCAACCAATTGGCTTCTCCCTTTTCATTTTCAAATCTTAACTGAACAAACTGAAGAGGAAAGCTGATAGGTTGCCCTGGGCAACTGCTCCAGATTTTGTCTGCTTCAATTTTGATAATTTCCCCTCCATGTGTATAACAAGGAACCATTCTTTAAAGGCTTTCTGACCACATTTTATGTTACCCCCATATTTATGGTATAAAATGAAGCATGGTCAGATTGCAAACTCCTACTCCCCTCCGGCCCCCCACTTACCTGATTCATGTGGTTCTTCTGCCTTTTTTTTTTTCCAATGGAACTCTGCGTGGCTCTGCCCACATAGCCTTGTCATCCATTACCAGATCCTTTTGACAGGATCTATAAATGGAGAAACTACATCATTCACCATGGCACAGGGATTATAAGGTACAGACATGGATGGCAAGAAGCATCTGCAGAAGCCAGAGCATTGCCCCTTGAGCCACTTGTTGCAGTTGCAATAATTTGCTGGCTCCACTGCAAAAAATACTAAATACACATAATAAGAGCATTATTCATTTTTTTCTCTAGTAGCTCACTGACCCCGAAGAAGTATTTATTGAAAGACTGCTGACGTTCCTGAATTTCATAGTTGTTCCAGGTCAGTAACTCATAAAATTACTATCTTTTCCAGGAATATATAATGGTCTTCTTTTATATCTATAACCTTGGCAACAATTCCCATTTATACCGGCCAGGCTAGTAAAATACCAGCCAGGTGGCAAACCTAGAGATTAAAAGTACTGAAGCCAATTAATTACCATAATGGCCAGGAAATATGCATTTACAGAAGCAGGTTCACAGTGGCAGCCCCTGTATTTCTTTTGTAATAGGTAAAGCTTGCCATACGCTTGGCATTTTTTCTCATTCAGTTCTGTGGGCTGAACAAGAACTGTAGATGTGGGATTTGCCACTACCGGAATGTTGTATTTTGACAGCTGACACCTGCAGCTGCCAGAATACATGAATTGACCTGACAATTTGTTGCCTGGCTCCTTTGACAAAGGTAAAAAATTTAATTTTGATGGGTGATGGCAGGGCCACATGCAGCTCATATTTGGCTGAATTAGCAGGACTTGGCCCAATTTCGAGCTGTGTATGGCCAGCTTAAGTAAATGACTATGCATATACACTGCCTGGCTTAAAAAAAAGTCACACAATTTAGTTAGACCGCCTTTTAGCTTTGATTACGGCACGCATTCGCTGTGGCATTGTTTTGATAAGCTTATGCAATGTGACAACATTTATTTCTGTCCGGAGTTGCATTAATTTTTCACCCAGATCTTGTGATGATGGGAGAGTCGGACCACTGCGTAAAGTCTTCTCCAGCACATCCCAAACATTCTCAATGGGATTAAGGTCTGGACTCTGTGGTGGCCAATCCATGTGTGAAAATGATGTCTCATGTTCCCTGATCCACTTTTTTACAATTTGAGCCCGATGAATCCTGGCATTGTCATCTTGAAATATGTCCGTTCCATCAGGGAAGAAAAAATACATTGGTGGAAAAAACCTGATCATTCAGTATATTTACATAGGCAGCTGAACTCATTTCTTTGGGACATAACGTTGCTGAATGTAGACTTATTATCTAATGGAAGGCTCTTGCCTAGTTGCTTGGCTACATCCAGGTGGTGACTTTTTTTTTTTTTGGTCAGGCACTGTACTTTCCTGTACAAAGTTTAGTTCTGTATATTCCTCTTGGAGGCAGGCAGTTTTGATCTTCAATAAATCGCCTATAATATTTCATGTAGTCACAAGTATTGTGATGTTTGTAGTGCTTCAATTAGGTCACTAAGTAATAGAATATGAATGTTGTCTCAGCCCATAAAATTGTGGCCTGCTCTGTGTGCAATGTACAAATGGTATGCTACTAAGCACTTGTGCATTATGCAATGGCAAAGGAATGCTCTCTCTATGGAAAATGTGGAGAATATTCATGTGTACTGGAAGATTCCTTGTTACGGGACTCCTCCGTTACAGCTATTAAATCCTATATTGCCATAATATAAACCCTTTTTTTTATATGAAAGAAGTAGTATGTAAGAGGACCTGTCACTTTGGTGACTGGAGCTTGTGTCATACACCATCTTCTCCCTCTATAATATAAACATTTAGAGAAGTGCTGTTGCAATAAAAATGCAATTCTAAAATTATTGAGATTCTTAATTAGCAGCTTGACTTGAGAAACATGTAATTGTGAGGATCTAAATCTGTTCAAACACATAATAATATGGATGGAATTTACTGTGGTAAAGCACTTCCTCTGATCTAGATACGGTATTCTTCATACCTACTGTATACACGTCTAACACTGTATAGGATTGTTCTTATGTATATTGGTTTCCCATTTTCATACATACATTTCGTACGGTTTTAATCTGTTCTACAAAAGTGTGATCTTACATCATGTGATCAATTTGCTTTTGCTAAATGTTGGTGTTGGGAAAACTATTTATCTCTTAGATTTAAAGTGACTCTAAACTCAGGATTTAAATTTGAAAAATGCATTTAAGTACATTTAACCACTTATCATTTTAAAAAGTCCTTTCCCCGCTCCTGCTCGTATGCACCACCCCACATGTGCACGAGCGGGAAACTGCCTACAAATTAAACAGCCAGCAATGGCTGTTTACATACAAGCGTTTGAGCTTGTATGATGAGTGCAAGTGTCCCCCCTCCACCTGTGCCTATCCCAGGCTCTGCTGTGACCCATGCAGGCTAGGGGCTGGCATGGCGACACTCTGAACGGAGTTCAGAGGGAGATCAGCACACACGTTGATCTCCTCTTCGGTCCCTGAATGCAGAAGTCATGTGTATTACACCACTTTCGCCTTCAGCTTTCATTTCTCTGGCTTCTGTAGTCAGGGAGAAGCTGGTGAGGCAGATCTGCTGCTTAAGCTTCTTTGGGGGTCCCTAGGTGACATTTGGGGTTTAAAAGACCCCTAATAGCTCCATAAAGAGGACCTGTCACAGGATAAATGCTATCACATAGGGGTTTTTTAAAAACAAAAAAAAGATGTACACAAATGCAAACATGCATCAGGAGCGCCTAATTGTGAAAACAACTATTGCGCCCATTGTGCTGCACATGTTACATATCACCGTGAATGTCGGAGTGAGAGCAATAATTCTGGGGCCACGAATCACTGTTAACACTAAACTGATGAGTTGTAAAAGCTTTTAAAGCGTCACCTACGGTCAGTTTTGGATACGTTAGTTTTTTGCAATTGTGTGGCCGCACGCAATTTTGAGGCTTGACATGTTTGGTGTCTATTTACGTGACGTGACCCCGACTTTTATATTTTACCAAAAAATTGGGTAATATTTTATAACATAGGGAAATTGTTTTCAAAATTTTCGGCACTTTTTTTCTTTGTATAGTAAAAAATAAAAACCTCAGTGGTGATTAAATACCACCAAAGGAAAGCTCTATCTGTTCTGAAAACACTGTATTGCATGACGGAATAAATGTCAGTCAAAGTTCTGCAGCACTGAATACTGAAAAATGGCCTGGACAGGAAGGGGCTTTAACACCCCAGTCAGCAAGTGGTTAACTAATAATAAAATGTTTATCTTATTTGTGTATCACTCGGCTGTAGATCCTCAAATCATCTCTGAATTGGTGCTGACACTGTCCTTCCTTCTGGAGGGGGGCTACTTTTGTTCCCCATGGTCCCTATGTGTGTTGTAAAGTAGCCTCCGCTCCAAGCTCCCTCCCGTGATGGACTACAATCTCAATACAAATCAGTACACTAAACCTGAGATTGTAGACCATTATGAAGGCAAGTTTTGAGCGGTGGCTACTTACAACACACACACAGGGACCATGGGGACAAAACTAGCCACCCTCCAGAAGGAAGGACAGTGTCAGCACCAATTCAGAGATGATTTGAGGATCTATACATGAATGATACACAAAAAAGCATTTTTGTAAAACATCAAGGTACTTGAATACATTTTTAAGATGTAACTTCTGAGTTTAGTGTCACTTTAAATACAACCTCTGCTGAGCACTATTTGCATCTACACTGGTCATATACCCAAACTGCAATGCGGGGCTCAGAAGTCTTTCTATCATACACTTTTTATGACGTTCTGATGCCTCTAACAGTTGCAAACATCTGTGGCCCTTATAAAAGAGCACTTTAAGCCAGTGGTGTACCTAGTTTATTTGGCACCTGCAGTGTAGGATCAGGATCAATGTTTAACACCTCCTTCATTTGTTAAAATGATTTTTAGTCAGGAATTTAT